TCTCTCTCTCTCTCTCACACACACACGCACACACACACACACACACACACACACACACACACACACACACAAATGTGGTCCACTTACCTCCATGTAGACAGCCAAGGGCATGACCACCACAGCCACCATGATGTCCGCCACGGCCAGGGAGCAGATGAAGTAGTTGGTCACAGTCTTCAGGCTCTTCTCCTTGAACACGCTCAGGACCACCAGAACATTCCCGAACACCGTGAATAGCGGGAAGATGATCAACAGGATGGTCCAGTAGTTGTACTCCTCCTGGCTCATGCCTATACTCCCAGACCCGTTAAAGCCTGTCATGTTGTCGTCCGTGGCGATTGACCAACAGTTGAAGTCCAGTCCAGATGTGGCGTTTTCACAGTCTGTGTAGTTCATAGTTAGGTCTGAAGTGGGGAACAGGGAGTCTAGGAGGGCTGGGGGGTCGGGGCTGAGGGTGGAGGAGGCGTGGTCGGCTGTGAGGGTGAGGATTGTGCGGTTTGATGCTAAGGAGGAGGAGAAGGAGGAGGACGGGGAGGAGAGAGGTGATGGGGCGGAGAGGGATAAGGATGAGGATGATGATAGTGAGGGTGATGAGTGTGAGGGATGTAATGAGTGAAGAAGTGATGAGGATGAAGATGAGGAAGAGGAGGAAAAGGGGGAGGATGAGGTATCATTCGGAGAGTGATTATGATGCGGTGCTTTGCTATTTTGTCTTAGACCGTAGCCCGTGAGACGAGAGGAGGGATCTAAATAATCGCTATCACCGCCGTCGTTGCTTTCTTTCCCGGCGTAGGGTGGATAGGAAGGTAGCGATGACGACGACGACGACGACGAAGCGAGGGCTGATGAAGATAACGACGACGATGACGATGACGAAGAAGAAGATGATGAAGCAGGTGGAGAGAGTTGGACCCGCCCGTGCCGTGGAGTGTTGCTGTGTTCTCCGTGGAAGGAGGAGGACGAGCCCCCTCTCCCTGGCGCCAGGCGTGTGTCGCTCAACCCTTCTGCCAAGTTGTAGTCGTCGAAATTGAAAAGGCTATCTTTGGCTTCACGCCACGCAGGCTTATGCCCCGGGGACGCAACACCCCCACCACCACCACCACCAGAAGATGATTGCGGCGCATCGATGCCACCACTTCCGGCGGCGTTGTTGTCCGCAGATGACGTCACGGGCGCGTCACTGTACAAGGGTGATGACGTAGTGTGTGCGCCGTGATGACGTGGCCGGTGGCTACCTCCGATGTAACGACCGCGGCCGAAATCCTGCGGGGCGGCAAACTGGAGGATGTTGTGGCGACCCCGGAGGTGAGCCGAGTTTGATTTCTGACCTCTCAGGACACCCATGACGACGGGCTGATGTGTTGTTATCCCTGTGCCACTACGGATATATCAGTCCTCCTTTACGTGTGGATTTGTATTTAGCATCTTTATCAGGAATACGCAGGCGATATAATACACATTTAAGTAAAAACAAAGGTACTTTCACAAACTACAACATTCGTTGCGTCAACATTCCAAGTTATTAACGATAACTCAAAATTTCGTCAGACAAAAAGCAAAGGGAAATAACTAAGCCAACCCTCGGCAAACTTGTATCACTGAACACACCTCGCACCACGAGTTATCAACTCATCGTCAAAAGGCATTATACGAAGACCTGGGTGGTACTTGGTGGATATAGAGATGACCGCTTCTGGGGTTGGTGACCCATCAAAACGTCGAGATATCTGTTTGCGCCGTCTTCTTCAGAAATACTTCTTTGTACCGCTCCACACCCTTCCGTCATTCTGATCAGTGTGGCGCTATCAGATGCATCGACTACTTCAGGATCAATAAAAATATTTACCAGATCTGATCTGATTTTATTTGATCTGATCTAACTTCGTTTGTTTTCCTTTCTTACTTAATTTCATCATGTCCTATCTTGGCCAGGCACTCTTTGAAGACAAGGAAAAGGATATTATTATCATCCCGTTAAAATACGGTCAGAATAGTTTTCAAATCTCCATTCGATCGTTGTTAGTTCCGTTTCTTCTTTGGAAATAATTTTTGGAGTTTAACAATTTAGATCTTGATAGCTTATTCAGTGGCAGCTTAAGTTTTATACTGTTCATATTTTTCCTGTTTCGAATCTGTCATTACAAGTGATAAGAAACACATTTAGGCTGCGACTGATTTTTTAAAAGGTAATCTATTGCGTGAGATCAGTTTTGGTCATGTACTCGCAAGAAACCGAAGCTTTACCCAAGCCATTAATCCTCAATTTTGTAATCCAAAAATAAAAACCTTCTAATATGTATTCAATTTTCCTAAGAAAGTATGTGTAGGTTAATGCTCCTTGCAATTCAGTTTTAAAATCACCCAAATGTAAATATATATTTTCACAAAACAGCAAATCTCCGCCTTATACACAAGAGCTGAGAATTGAACACCAATGCGAACGTCCTTCAATTAGAATACTCCTTGATTCCAAAGAACAAAACAGTGATGTCGTCCCTCTAACTTTTCCGTCAACAGTGAACGCATGTTGCCGAGTTCGTAGACCAACCAGGCGGATTCCGAACTTGGGTAGCAACACTGCAGACCAATCAGACCGATTACAAACGTGTGTAAGAAAAAGACCTGCGAAATAAAGAAAACAGGAATATGTTCAGAAGATTGTTTTTTTAAAGTTCTGTACAATGGTGTTTTCTATTGAGGAAGTATACCGATATTTATGCATCACGTAATATGTGGGCTTATAAACCGTCATAGTTATGAAACACATACACACATATAAATACACACACACATAAACACAAACACACACAAATACACTCATACACACGCACACTCACACATACACACATAAACACACAAATAAATACTAAAACTAGCGCACATATATACATGATAAAAAATATTACGTTTGTTCGAACAATGAGAAGAACATCAATACATTAATATTCATTTTAGTGTTGGGCAAAAGTAAAACAGAGAAACATACAAAAACAACAGAGGGAAAGTAAAGAAGTACAACCTACCAGTGGCATCCTCCAACCACCCACACAGACAGAAACAATGGAGGGAAAGTAAAGAAGTAAGACCTACCAGTGGCACCCTCCAACCACCCACACAGACAGAAACAATTGTGGGAAAGTAAAGAAGTACAACCTACCAGTGGCACCCTCCAACCACCCACACAGACAGAAACAATTGAGGGAAAGTAAAGAAGTAAGACCTACCAGTGGCACCCTCCAACCACCCGCACAACAATACTATTTCTGTGTAAACGCATACATACATCCACACACATAACACGAAAACAACAATCAGCCAAAGACATTACGATCAGATGTCAAAGATTCTCATCTCAAATTTGACGTGAGCCGAAAACCACTGTCCGCCTCTTCCAATAACCGTTTCTCACGGACGAAATACTGAAGTAGACGCCTTTTTCAGTTAAGATCGACAAACTCGACTAGCAATGAGGCGTAAAGGGGCAGGCAAACAGCGGAGGGAAGAAGAAACAGCCACTATCGATTTACAAAACATCTCTTTTCGCGATCTGGAGATCGATATTATAGACCACCTGACGGGTGATTACCTCTCTTGTATTTCAAAGCTCCGACTTTGAGAAATTTGTTACCGCAGTGTGCAGACGTTAATTCCCCCCGCCCCCCGCATCCCAGTCTCATC